TTTACATTGTTGTTATGATATTCCTAGTATCATGTCTAGGTTAATTTTAATATTAAATATGATTGCTATGATGCCTTTTATTCTTTTCCTAATATTTATGATTGTTAGTATCATGTTAGGGCTAAAGATTTGATTTTTATTGCTTAGTGACATGCTAGGGTTTGTTATTAATCTTGTTAGTATCATGCCTAGGATCTTGCAATTATTATGCTTTAATATTAACATGAATATGATTATGATTATAATTGTTATAATTTATTATGAATATTATTATTATTTTGATGATGATTATTTATTTATTTATTATGATTATTATTAATATGATGATATTATTATTTATTATGTTGCTTGATATATTATTTTGTTATTTATTGCTTGATCACACCTTTTATTGCATGTTTAAAGGGAATTTGGTATTTGTCATCATGCTTAATAAGATAATTAATAATCTTTTTAGGGTTAATTGTGATTATAATTCAAGTGATCGCCAATAATAGATTTATTTGTGCATTAATATTCAACCAACATAGATTAAACAGGTTTAGGGTTAATCCTATTGATTGCATGTTAATCAGAAAGCGCACATGAATACGATCAGAATAAAGTAGAGGCCTATTATTAGGGCAGGTTCAATCTCTTTTAGGTTGGATTTGTACCTTTCATCCCCGAACCCTTATTTGGTTCTAGACCTTATGGAGTTGACGATCTCTTGGATCGTTAAGGGTGTAACCTTCACCTCGTGAACGGTTTACAAGTGCCTAAAAAAACTTGTTGGCGACTCTTTTGCTCTATCTTCTTCCTTTTTAGACGTCACCGTACTTTAGTGTATGATCACAATGGGGTTCAAGCTAGTGGGATTAAAGACTTGAAATTATTCCCGACGTTGGAGGAAAATCTACAGATTCTGAAGTTTTCTATGGTCGTAGCAATGGCAGCACTAATTTCATGAGTATGTGTTCTTTTTCCTAGCTTCTTATTTCAATTCTTTTTATTTCATGCCGATAAATTCAGTTTCTATTATTTATGCCAAAGATTAACTGGGGCTTCCTCTGCTTGCAGTGTGAAGTAATTTCCTCCTGTTTCTCTGTTTTCTCTCTAAGATAGGCGGAAGGAGGAAGATGGAGCAAGGTTTGGTCGATTCGAGTTTGAGGTGAATAAACTAAGGTATTATTGGATGTACGGCCTGTTTTTTTGTATTTAATTTCTAGAATTTTTTTTTCCTGCTGTTGATGTCTGTGTTTTGTGGAATTGATGGAATTTCACTTTGATTTATTGAGAAACAAGATCAGTTGAAGTTATGCAAATTTTTTTTTGTGAAATTCGAATTAATTTTAGTAAATTGGTAAGTGAATTGGAGAGAGTTTTGAGTGGTTATATTACACATTAATGAAGTACTTTGTTGTTAAGAATTTTGGGTAATGCTTAAATTAGGGTTTCTCGCGATGACTGCACATAGCGGATGAGTACAGAGGTTGGTGGCCTTACAGCACACGCGTCGGAGGAGAGGATCGGAAAAGAATACAGCAGCTTCTGAGGTAAGATTTTTCTTTTTCATCAAATACCAATATTAGGGTTCATCATTAAATTTATTGTCAATTTTGGGTTCTTCTAAGCTTGATTATTTCTGATTTATTTTTTTGGGGGATTTTGTAGGAAACCCATATGTTCAAGATTATTGGATTAGAGAAGATATTCTTGATTGAGTTGTCAATGTATGTGCCAAGGTGAGTTCATTCGAATTTAATTTGATGTTATATTATTTGCTTTTGTCTTGTAAATATGTGATCTTAAAGTGTTCGATGAATTGCTTGAATGAACATCGATTGTGGGTGGTAAAACTTTTAATCTGAAAATACATTGATCGGATGTCAATTGAATCTAATTGCGGATAAATTATGTGCCTTTTATATGTCTGTCAAGTGTTAAATTTATTTGGAGTGTTACACCTGTACAATGGGTCTTATGAACGACAAATTGTACACCTTGATAATGGGTCCTATAATGGCTACAAAGCATGATCACATCCCTTCCTCTACTCCCACATAACTAATGGGGTTAGTTGGTTTGAATTCAGTAGTTATTATATTGCTTTTCTTTGCTCATACCGATGTCATCCATGCCTGACATATTTTAGTGTAATTCTTTGCTCCTTATGAATGTGGGAGTAATATCATCTAATTTAAGTGGGTTTGTCCAGCGGCTTTAGATAGGTTTTCACTATTGGCTGATCTTACAGTTCTTAATATTTTTCTAATCACAAGCTAATGTAGTATAGATCTTTGGATTATTCATGCAATTTAACACTATAAAAAAAACAATGGTATTTTAGTTTATAGTGGGTTTTTTCTGTCAAAAGTGTAATAAACCCACATAATTATTAAGATATCTGTTGGTAACTTGACAGATTTTCCTTAGTTTTTTAAATTTTTAGATTATGATATGCTGAATTCTTGTTTAAAGTAAAGTTATCTAATTCTATGCATGGTTTCTTAAGCTTTTGCCAAGTTTTCATTATGAACAAAGAAAGGACCTTGCTAGGTTCATTATGAAAACTCCACAATTTATTTTACTGAACTCGTTTGCTTGCTAATCATACGTATGCTGCATGAGATATCATAGAATTTGCTTCCATTTTTGAAAACTTGTTCCACTTTTCATTTTTGGCCGTTTTTAAATATTTGCTCCATTTTCTTATTTGGAATGCTTTTACAATATTTAATTAATTTCTCTCACATAGTGAACCCACCATGAATCATATTTTATTAATTTCATATTTTTTCTTAATACTTTTTTTCCAATTATTATTAATTTCTCGGGTTGCATATAACAATGAAGACAGCTGAAATTCTCCACTCTTACCCAATTAATCTTCTCTCTTTGAGCTTCCTCACAATGAAAAAACAAATCAAAGCACGTGCTATTTCACCTCTGTCAAAGTAGATATGTTTTGAGAGGGAACTTTGTGTCCTTGTCGGATGTTTTGTGTATAATATTATTTACTTTTTAAAGCTAATCCACACTTTATGTTAGTAGGCACTTTGGACCTCCATGCAAAGGCCAAATAAGCACAAATGGGAATTTAATGAGATAGATTACATGCTCATGAATAATTAATTATGTGAATGAATTCTCTATAAGAATAAAGATCCAAACTTTTGTCTTCACATCAAAAGGTATTTTACAAAGTTTAAAACACCTGGCATAGCAAAACACCTTAAATTCTGCAAATGTTTATCTTGTGGGATTGAAGATTTTGGGAAGGGTACACCCTTAGTCACACAAAAAGCATCATCAAGGGGAACATGGAACAAATGGGAAGACCTTGTAGGAAAATGCCCCCCTTTTCCATGTATTGTCATCATTGAAGAACCTATCTTTTTGTAGGAAAAGAGAGACACATCAAACACATTGAATTAGCTTACAAGTGAAATCATGAGTATAGTGATGGAGCCAACATAGGAATTTAATGGTTTTGCAGAAGTTTATTCAAAAGGGGCCTTATGCTGAGGGATATTGGTTTCTAAAGGGAAAGTACTACCAACATTACCTCACTATGATATTAGTGGACTTCATGTTACCAAAGCCCTTTATATACTTGCTTACTCTGAATCTAACACATGACAAAAGAAATAATAAGTCCAATACAGACATACAGTGTTAATGCCAGCTAGGCTTTTCACAGGGTGACCAACCCTAAGGCCTGAAATGAACCCAGAAATTAGGTTGATGTTGCAGGATCTCTTATACTCTTAGTTGAAAGATGTAGAAAGGATCTTATTATCTGAATATTGAAGATAAAACACTAGAACACTTCCCCTGCCCTGCACCCTATTCTTTATAGTATTGACTATAGATGTTTGCTCCCCTTCAATCACTGTTGCTGGTATGGTCTTTGTTTGCTACTTTGCTGGTTCAAATCTTATGTCATTCTCGATAAGTGTTGCAATGCAATTGTTATATCATGGACATGAGACCATTGTGCACATCCTGATCCTGAATGCACATATTGTTAAAAATTACTGAGCGTATAGTTCAAAGATTGCAGGCATATTTTCCATATTCGTAATTTTTGAACTCTATTTATTTGCTGCTGAAGTAAATGAGAATTACTTGTATATCTTTGAAACCTATAAACCATGTGTTCCTCTGGGATTTGAATGAATGACTACTAAACCAATGACCTCCATAGGATTCAAGGTGTGCTCATTTCTGTATTTGTGCCCAGGAAATTTCCTGTGCTATCATCAGGCTTGAAGCAAACGTTTAGTATGGTTTTCTGCCTTAGAGAAGCAGAGAAGCACATTACTGTTGATGATTTGACTTTCTTAGTTAAAATATGTTTGTTATTGAGGATCTAAATTCATTCAAGTCATTCTTTCACACTACATTCACTTTGTAATTCTAATCCTTTTCTGAAATCTAATTTTTATTCAACCTTATTTTGCAGTCCATCTCGGACATTACCGTCCATCGATCTCGGACATTACCGTCCATCTGATGACTGCCTTGACGCCTTTCTTTCAGTTTTAAAGGATAATGGTATAGACCTCAGTGAAGTTGAGGTAAGTTGGTGGTTCTTTTCCTCCACTTTTCTTGGATGTGTAGAGAACTACGTACTTTAATAAATCAATTGGGACTATCAATTGAGACATTACAATCATGGAAATTTTTCAATTGGGGCTATCAATTGGGACACATAAGAATAAGGGGAAAAGAAGTTAAATTGGGGCTATCAATTGGGACATTACTCACAAACCAAATTATTGCAATATAGCATTTGGGTTACTCACGAATTGCCTTGTTCAGCTAATTGGGACTATCGAAACTTTAAGCCTTGGTGATTACATTGATTATCTCATGTGTAAAACGGTCAGTAATTTGGTTTATCTTTGATTAATTTTGTTTAGATGTTTGATTAATTTTGATCAATGACCTGTAAGCTGTTTTTCTTTTCAATTGAGCTTTTCTTGACAATTTGCCATAATGAAGATGATCAGTAGCTGATAAATTTATTTTTTCTGGATTTATTTATGAATTACCATCGTTGTAAATGAATGATAGTATGATACGTGTCGATTTTGAGCTATTGATTGTATTATCAATGGATAATAGATTTTCTTCAGATGATATATATAAGGCTTACAGACCAACTTGTTGTGATGTTAGCATGAAAACAAATAATTTTGGTGATTCAAATATAAATTAGCATCAATGAAATACACTAAAATGAGGAATTCTTATTTATATTGTAAGGCCTCGTTAGTGCTCTTATTTTTTTTTAAACATTCTTATTTTAATCAAACCAAGGTTAAATTATGCAAACTTTGATTTAATTTGCGAAGAAATTTGTTTCATATTAAACTGAGTTTTTCTGCAAAATTGCAGAGATGGGTTTCACGAAGAAAGAGTATGAATTTCTTATTATGTGAGCGGAAATTGAAAATTCCTATAATTATCTCACACCTTATCTTTGCTCCGCTTTAATTTGTTGAATTTCAAGGCGAAAGAGGGAGAAACCGAGAAGAATAAATGGAGGGTTGTGACTTGTGAGCAAGCTCAACTCGGTCAATTCAAGGAGGAGATTAAACGTCGTGCTTTGATTCATAAGGTTTTGCTTTCTCCTCTTTCTAATTTTTCCTAGCTGAAATTTTATAGTATATAGAATTTGTGATTATTCCTTTTTTAAAAACAAAATGAAAGCAGAACTTCTTTATTTTGGATTTAATTTCTATGTTCATCTGATTATATAGTAAAAGGATGGGAATTTTTGTTTTAACTCACTGAAATCTAATATTCATTTACACCTTCACCATTGGAAAGTTTATGGAGGCTTCTCAATCTATCCTCTGTCTTAGGCGATTCATCTTTGTTTAAGTTTAGGGCTATTCAAATTGATGTACTAGGAATTTGTCTGGTCTTGTAGAGAAGCAAGTACTAGCATAATTTTTATTTGTATCTCTTTATAAGATTTGCTACTGTTTTCTTAAATTTCTATATTCTGTGGGGTATGTAGCCTCTAATATATTATGTGATTATTTCGGTTTATTTACGAGGAAAATTCATTCATTTGTTTTTTATTCATTCCTAAGTGTGTTCATATTGATACATGTATATTACCATGCTATGTTGATTCGTACATCATTTTGGTGATGTTGGGAAAGACGTACGACTATTTGTTTCTGTCCATGGGTTTCTTTGCTTAAATAGATGACCTGTCAACATGTTGGTTTCCAATTTGGAGAATTTATACCCTTCTTTTAAATTTTAGGTTCTGTGATTTTGGGGAAAATAGAAAGAAACTTGATTTGGGTTGTATAATTTGGATCATTGGTTACAAATAACAGCAAATTTTTGTTTTTCCTAGCTTAAGTTTTACAGTATTTAGAATTTGTGATTGTTCCTTTTAATAAATCAAATGAAGGCAGAAATTCTTTATTTTGGATTTAATTTCTGTAATTTATATGTTCATTATGTGTGATTGCGGTAATAGAACAAGATAGAGCCCATAAAGAGAAAGGAAGTGAGAAAACAAGGGCCTAGAAAGATAAATGGATATATTGATGGATATCAATCAGTAGAAATAGGTCTTCTGAAATTCATGATCCATAAAAAAAAATGAGTAACACCAAGAGATAGGGTTCGTAGAGGAAAAGGAAATGAGAAGGGGGGAGGAGTAGGAAAATTTTCGAAATCATTAAAGTCAAATGAGATTGTTGTGGAAAATTTTCTATATTAAAACATACCTTTAATAAGACATAAATTTTGTGATAGAAATTCAAAAAAACACGTGGATTGAAAAGAGAAGAGCTTAAATGAGATATCTGTGTAGATAGCAGTGTGTTTTAGTGAAGGGGGGAGGAAAGGAAAGTGGTACACTAATGGAGGGAGCAAGTAGGTAGAGACTTACTAAAAACTACAAATTCATAAAATATGAGTGAGGTCAAATAGATAGAGAGTGAAAAATGAGGGATTAGAATTGAATTAATAGATAAATTGATGGCTAAAATGTAGGAAGAAGCCTTTCAATATTTACAATTCGTACAAATGAGTAACAAAAGGTGATATATCCCATATATGAAAAGGACGTGAGGAGGGAGGAGGGGAAGAGAGAAAGGAATGTGGTACACTAGGGAAAGGGGGAAAAAAATCCAAAAACCGTAAAATATGAGTAAGGTAAAATAGAAAAGCAGTGAGAAATAAGGGCATGGAAAGATTAATAAATAAATGTTGTATATCAAGTAGAAAGAGACCTTTTAAAATTCACAATGCGTAAAAGTGAGTAACAATTAACAAAAGCCAACAGGAGATACATCCCATAGAGGAATAGGAAGTGAGAAAACTAGGGCTTGGAAAGATAAATAGATAGATTAATGGATATCAAGTAGAAAGAGACCTTCTAAAATTCACGATCCATAAAAAAAATGTGTAAAGCATGGAGGTAGAGCCTATAGGGGGAAAGGAAATGAGAAGGGAGTGATGGGGCCATGGGGGTGTGGAAGGAGTAGCAAGTAGTGTAATACTTTCTAAATTTGCAAAATCAATTGGGAGCTCATTGGATGATTTTGGGGGGAGAAGAAAAGTAAAATGGTACGCTGAGGAAGGGAGCAAGTAGGTAGAGACTTACTAAAAAATTACAAAAATCATAAAATAAAAGTGAGGTAAAATAGAAAGGGAGTGAGAAAATGAGGACTTGGAAAGATTAATATACTACGTATAAATTGATAGATAGCAAGTAGGAAGAGACCATATTCACAGTTCATAAAAATGTGTAACGGAAGGAGATATAGGTCATAGAGGAAAAGGAAGTGAGGAGGGGGTAGAGGGGGAGGAGAAAGTAATATGATACTTTATAAAATTTGCAAATCCATAAAAGTCTATTTAGAAGGAGATAGGTAGAGGAAGCTAGCTGTTATGGATGTTGGTTGTGGCGTTGGTAGAGTTCATTTCTTCATGGCAGAGAATTTCAACATTGATCTCATTGGCATTGATATGAGATCTCTCCACCAATATGATCTCTATTATTGTTGCGCATGTAGTTGGACACAATAGTGCAAAGGTAGCTGATTGTAAAATGATTACTTACCTAGACTATACTTTTGATGTGATCTACAGTCGTGATACCATTCTTTATATTCTTGTAATGTATGTTCATGCTTTCCAGTAATTTTTTTCCATACATCCTTGGTAACAACTTAATTTTAGCGTTATAACGGTGCTACTCTGTTTTACATTTCAGGATAAAGCTAGCTATTCACATCGTTTTATAAATAATTGAAACCCGATGGGAGAATTTTAATCATTGGTTACTGCAAGAATGCTGGTATACATACACCCATCACAACAACGCCTGAATTTGTTGCATATATTAAGCAGACTGGATGTGATCTCTATGATGTGTAGGCAAGTGTCTAGGTTTTATTCTCAGTTCCCCATCTTCGAAATCAGAATTTCTTACTATTAGCATATATACTGATGATGTATTCATTCGTTCCAAATACTTATGAGATGCAGTCGAGAAAGAAAAAGAAAGATTTGTTACAAACATTAGAGTTTGTTCATTTTGTTGAGAAATCATTAAAGAACTAATCGTTGTCGATGTCTCTGATTTGTTTTTACAAGTATTCTCAGTTATAACTTATGAATCATGTATGCATCATGTGTAATTTGACAATTATTAATAAAGGTTGAAACTTGTACACCAAATAATAGAACCAATAAATTGTAGTCTTTTACACTACTAAATTGTCTCTTCAATTCACACTACCAAATTGTTCATATAGTCTGTATTGTTTCTTGTTAAAAAAGGCTTGTGTATACATGAGAAAGATTGTATCAATTTTTAATTTAAAAAGCTAAATTCTCTGACATTAGTAAAGAAGATGTTACATTCTACATCTATAACTAAATAGTACAATGGTAAATTTTAATTTTTTAAAAAAGAAATTAGTAATTTTTAATTCGAATGTCATTTCAAATATGTAATTAGTAAAATTTAAAGTAGTAATTAATTTACATTAATGTAATTTATCACAATATTTTTAAAACAAAGAAAAAAAATTCTATAGGTATCATCAATACAATATTGTTTTGAAGGCTTTAAACAAAGATATTAGTCTCCATTTTTACTTTTATATCTTTTAAAACCATGCAAAACATACCGCCAACCAAAAAAATGCTAGCTTTTTGCTTAACAACAATCATATTGTGCCAATATTGTAAAGTCTTTAGATGAAAATAATATTTTCATGAGAATCCTCCATAGTCTAATCCAGTATTTTTTTTTTTTTGGATTTTTTTTTTTTGGGTGTAACAACAAAATTTTAATTATCAATTCTATATAATTCTACATAAATTATAAATTCTATAATTTTGCTATATGGATAATTTCTATATAATTTTCTTAATTCAATATTTTCTATAATCCAATACAAAGCCTAGGCATTTGAATTTCATACTTCCAATTACAAAAGCACAATTTAATGTTACCCTTACGAATTTAAGAAATTGATGAAAAAAATTACAACCAAACAAAAAACACGCTGAACTATTGCGCGCGTAGCGCGCGAGAGGGCGACTAGTATATTTAAAATACGGGGCATTACAGGAGACGTCAGTTTTTTTTTTTTTTTTTTTTTTTTTTTTTTTGAAGGGGGGAGATAAAATTCATTAATAATAAGCCATACGACACTTACATAAGAGATCGTAATCGAACAATACAAAGACAAAAGAACCAATTACAAGTTCGTTTTAGTTTGTTTTGTTTTGAGTTGCCCTTTGTCAAAAAAAAAAAAAAAAAATAAAAATAAATAAATACTTTCTCACTCTAGAGAATTTCTCACTCTAGTTTTAAGTCGTATCTTGTTATTTCTTCAGTTTTTTAATAATTAGGCGGTTAATGCAAGTTATGCAACAGAACTTCAAACTATATAATCCCTTCTCAACTTCAGTTTTCTGTTACTCTCTATCTAACTACCTTCACCTGAAAAACACTCTTCATTCTTCATTCTTCCTTCTATTCTTCATTCTTCTTTCTTTAACTAAAAATGGCATCTCATAAAAACCCTGAAAAACTAATAGAAATTGAACTAAGTCCAGCATTAAGTCTTAAGCAATCTGCAATGTGTTTGTGTGACCATGAGTTCAACCCCAAAGCTATGGGAAGGCTGGATATTACCGAAAGAGGTTTCGAGATTACAGTCCGAAATACGGACTCTAAAGCTGCCATGGTTCTGTTCTTCAAGTCTACGGAGATGATGAAATATCACTGCAAGAAACCCATTTTTGGGAAGTTGATTAATGTGTCACAAATGTACCCGATTGCTGCTAAAGATGATGATATACTTAACATATATCATCTTGATGGGTTGAATCAACTCACATTCTCACTCGGTAATTTCCATATTTATGTGTTTTTTTCCTGCAATACTCTGTTTTTCGTGATATTATTTCGTATTAATCAACCCCTAATTTTCGCAATTAAGGCTTTAGTTTTGTTGATTTTAGTTGAATCTTGTGTTTAATTATATAATTTGTCGATTAAATTATGATTTGTGAATTTGTCGATAAAAGTTCCAACAATTATGATTTGTTAATTTGTGATGATAACTTTAAATGTTTCTTGATTTTTCATTTCTTGTATATTAACTTCTGAAGTATTAATTTTTTTGTAGTTGAATCTTGTGTTTAATTATATTGTTTGTCGATAAAATTTTTAATATAAAAAGTTCCAGCAGTTGTTATGATTTGTGATTTCGTGATGATAATTGTGAATGTGTCTTGATTTTTCATTTCTTGAATATTAACTAGTATTAATTTCTGGATTTATTTTGATTTTTGTGAGTATTATATTTGATGACAGTAACATGACCTCATTAGGATAAAGTACGATGTAGAATCGCTTTAGTTGGGCACAGACCTACCATTGTTCATATTGATCATAGTTTCTTATGAAATTTTAATTGCAAAACCTTACTGATGGTCTTTTCAAAAGTGCAATGAATTTTACAATTAAGGCTGAAGTTCTTACTGACAATAGTTTTAGGAGTTTCATATTATTCTAGGATAGTTTAATTAAGCATTCTCTACTTATTTCAGGGAGGGATCCAAATCAAAAATATTATGTAGAATTGTTGAGCATGGATGATAAAATTCTGAACATTCCTGACATCAAATTCCACTGTGAGGTGGTTCTCCCACATGAAACCTTTAAGAAAAAATTAAAACAGCTTGAAGATGTTGGGGTTGTTGCCTTTAGTATTGGAGAAAGATGTTTGCAGATTGTCGGAAAGAAGGGAATGACTGCAGGGCAAAGGCATCTAGCATCATTCATCATGCCTCATCTGGGAGCACTACAGAAAGCGTCTTATCTAACATCAAGTATCCAAATGAGTTTTCCTAATGAACAAGTTGCTACTATCATGCTGCGATTCTTCCTCCAGCACTCGGGATTTGCTGTTCATATGCAAGACAGATCAGGACTTCGAAGGGGAGAAAGAAGAGTTAATTTGTGGCTCGGATTCTGGAGGAAATGCGTTGGAAGAATTAGAGCATATAGGCACTACTGCTGGTGGCAGACTTGGAGGATATAGTGCTTTGTCTTATACTGTTTTGGAGGTTCTCCCATACAACATCGACAATGCAGTAATTACTGAATTTGAATGTACTACAAAAGACACCTCTTATTGTGCAGAAGTGACAGACAGTGAGCTCAGAAAGAGGAACAGAAATATAATGAAGGCGATCTTCAAAACATGTCTAAAGGAGGCCTTTCCGTCAATGAAACACATGACCCTGATGGTCGTTTTCATGGATCCACAAAGAGAGGTTGCTATCGAAATTTGTTGTGCAAATGCTGAAGCTGCTAGGCTGGCACGCCATGGTATGGATCAAATAACAGTTTCTAGGTGGCTATTCAACAAAGTTGGTCTTTCTTTTATTGGGAAACACTGGCTACATGCGAAGTTTTTGGTAACTGCATTCCCTTCTCTCTCTTTTTAATTTTCATTTTATCCTTTGTTTTCTTTTACCTGCTACAACATATGTGTTTTGTTGTTGTTTTCAGTTGAAGAGAGGAAACTGTCCAGTGGATGTCAGTGACAAGTTCCTGATGGCAGACCCAATAGGTTTGCTATGGAATGAAACTGATTTGTTAAATGAAGGTATGAGGGGCACGGAGGTGTTCGTTAGTCTTGTAGGCTATTTGGGGGACGTTGATGGTCTAAATTCTGTTGAATCTGTTCAGAATTTTCTTACCAATTTGGACTGGAAATCTATAAATGTAAGTCTTATATGAATATTGTTTATGCTGTTTGTTAAGTAATTTAGAAGCTACTAACAAAAATTATCACCTGCAGAATTTCAGCATTCTGGCTGCAGCTGGAAAGATTGTGGTGCCGGGGCTCGGAGACTTTGCTGAGGGGCTGGGAAACAATAAGGAGATGAAGCAAGATTTAGCTGTGTGAGCTGTCTCTTCTTGGTGCAGATTGACTATAGTGAACTTCCTAGAATGTGGAAGTAACTTTTTCATATAATAAACAAACCAAGCTGGTAGCCTTGACAGATACTGTGAAATGCTTGCTTTATTTGTGACTACAGTATAGTTACAACTTGTGAGGCATATGTAATTTCTGTTTAGTGTATGTTAAGCTGTCCTAGCGAGGGCATAGCAACATCTATCAGTAGTTAGGTTGTTATTCTCTCATCTATCCTGTATCAAATTTTGTTACTTTAGATTTGTGCTGTCCAAAGTTTCAATATCCTATGCATGCATATAGTACTTAAGAATTTCAAGAATTTCAATATATGCACTCTTTTATTTTTGGGAGGGTGGAACTTTTGACAAATAAATGTTCTTATTGAACAATATAAAATACAAGAGAAATGATATACACATTAGTAATTTCAGTAATAACTTGAATTACAGCTTTGAACAATCCTTAGTGAATGGCTTTACATATGCTCCTGCCAAAGTCATGCTCATTAGTAATCCAAATCCTGATACTTCACATTAAATGTGTGTAACTCGAGTTTTTATTGCCAATGAAAAACAATACAAAGTACAAACAATACAGATCAACGCATCTAGGAAGACCTATCTCAAGCCTCTAAGTTTCAAAGAAAGAATAAAATGCTACATACAATTCCTATCATATATGCTAGTATTTCTACATCGAACACTTGAATCTCAAATGAACTTCATCACAGAGCTTATTGGGTCTGTAAATTCTCTGCATTAGGAGTTCAGACAGCTTCATTCCTGCATCTCCATGTACAGTACACCATAGCTGAAACGTAAGCATAGCAGACTAGCTTCCAGAATTTTTTTCCTTATGACTCATAATCCATTTGCAGAGATACTCTTAACTGTTTGCACTTTAAAAAAAAACCTAGTTTCGCCATGGTTGATAAGACGTGTTGTCTGCTGAATTGATTACTGAAGAACATATGATCACTTGTATCACACTCTCACCTTCCTTAGCACACACAGGGCGTATATCCTCACAAATTCCAAAATGTTGAGAGTCTGCTTCTTTTGTTCGGCATCATTATATCTAGGACATGTGAGCCAGCAGATCGCATCATGTTTAGGCAAGTTAAATCTTTCAACTCAAGATCTAGCCTCATACCTACTTCTTAAGTACCTCTCACATTGAATTTGCTTGAAATTCCCATTATATAAGCATTTAGTTGCCTTTTAAAGTGACCTTAGTCAAAGTGACACAGCATACACTTCATTAATACAAACTTTGACAATGTAATCTGACTTTCTGTAATCCATATATAATCTTCCACATAGTCACTGTCAGCTGTACTCTTTTTTGCACCAACATGCTCCCCTAATCTGTGTAATAGATGCTTATTGGATGATTTCCGTCAAATGGTGGTGAAATCATTTTTTTTGGTTTTTATGTGGTGTTATAATAAAAGTTTTTAATTAGGTGGTGTTATATTCTAATTTTTGAGAATTTTATGGTGTTATTTTCTAATTTTTCCCAAAATTTTTATTAAAAAAAAAAAAAAATCTAGTCTGGAAATTTTAGTGGCCAATTGGGTTAGAACAGCCAGTTTCTTTAACAATATCTTCAGAAGCAATGATAAGAATAAGGACTCTAGCATAGTAAGTTCAATAATTGTAAACCGAGAATAAAACACTTGCATCAACCAACATGAAAAATTTTAACACAAAAAATCATTCAACTGTCAAGTAATGATTCGAGTCAAATATCCATCAATATCATTAGGAGTTGCAATCCATCTAACTCAGTGATGTCCACAGAAGGCACTTGGTTCCAGAATTTTGAATATCGAAATTCAATTGTATAGGCAGGGCATATACTTGAGACTGGTGCGATAATCTTAAATAAAAAAAAACCAAACAAAACAAAGATCACAACCAATATACTAGAGAGCATATGAAGGGTGGGCAATAAAATCAGATTTAAATGTATATTTGCAATATTTTCAACAACGGTAACACACTCCCATAGAGCAAGTCAGAAAAGGCATGAATTCTACATAGTAACTAATTCTAGGGAACAAAGCTTACAAAGGTATGCATTGAAGTCTAACAGTTCCTGATGCATAAAGTTGGAAAATCGAAATGAGCTGAGGTTGACAATAGGTTCAGAGTGAGTTGTGTTAGACTTCACAATAGTTTAGAAACACCAGCAATTTTATTTATTAAAAAAAAAAAAAAAAAAAAAAAAAAAAAAAAAAAAAAAAAAGAAGAAAAAGAAAAAGACAGCATTGGGATATCAAGATTTTTATAGAGTGCAAAGTTGTGATGCAGTTAGGGAGAGTGAAATCTAGTCCATTTAGAAGAGAAGTGAATGAGGTTTGTGTTATAGTGTACTACTTTATAGAAACCGGTATCTCAACATTGTCATTGTTAATGCTCAAGAATTCCAGCCCCAATCATTAAACAGAACCACAGCCAAACAAGATCCCAATTGATTTGAATTCAATATCCCACATCTCCCTTTAATTTCTGCAGGATGCCTGACCAATTTTGGGCTGCTTACATCTACATTCCCAAGTGGTCACAAACCAACACAAACATAACAGAGATATTAGACACTCGTACCCGACCCAACAGCAGACAGTCCAACTCCCAATATACTGGTAAAATAGACACCTAAACCCAAGCCATATGCAATTTAAAGTAGATTTGAAACTGATATCACCAATACTTTCAATCTAAACCATTATATTCCACACCCAACCAGGAACAAAACCTGATTCAACTCAATCAAGACCCTCTTTTAATCTGAGTCACTCCTGGACCAAACTGTTTATAGCCCACCCCATATCTAAACTGATCTCTTGCTGACCGGACTAAACCGTTTCCATAAACGGATGAAGTGAATTATTATTAAAGTTCACATTCAGTAGTATAGGGGATAAGGTTGATGACAGAGTCACAGAGGTGAAGTTCTACAAATTCATCCAAGGTAAATGCAAGAAGGATAGCACTTAGCAGTCATATATTCATTGGTATGGTCTGGCTAGAATCTCACAAAAGTGTTTCCATCGCTATAGATCTAAACAGTATTATGTGTTTCATATACGAAGTACAATCTATTATTGACCACAAGTCTACAATATTTAACTCCGTATATTGATGTATACAGATTTTCAATTTGCTATTATATGTCTTATGGTTTAGTAAATTAAACCCTCACTATCCAACCCTGAGTATGGGACTGAGAAACTTAGGGGCATGGGGTTAATAGTATGGCATACGAAGATAGGAATTTAAAAGAAAGAACTTTGAAAACAGAATTTTCATTTACCGAGTTAGAAAAACTCACAGTGAAATATTATACATCTTTGCCATCTGGTGACGAAGTAAGTTGAACAAGCCTTCATTCTCAATCATATTCCAGTATTCCACTACAAGTTCTTTCAGAAGGCTATTACAAACAAAAAGCACCTACTACCAAAATTTATCACTTGCAGATTTGGCATTAGCTAATTTTATTCCTTCTGAGACTCCATTCTCCTGAGAAATTCTCTTTGAAATCTCTTGGGCACATGCTTTTATAGTTTTATATCAGGACTCGTGGTCACTTTATAGCTTTCTTCAACACATTAGTACCTTCATTGACGTAGTCTAAAATGCAACAAAACGTAGCAGGAGATAATATGATGTTTGTTTACAGGGTAAACTAGAAAATGGTCAAGAAATAGCAGTAAAAAGGCTTTCAAGAGCATCTGGGCAAGGTGTAGAAGAATTCATCAACGAAGTTGAATTCATCTAAAAACTTCAGCAATTTCAGATTTCTAATAAAGCTGTAATCAAGCGAAACAGGAACATCATTATAAAACGGAGGGAATAGTACATGTTAAAAGAAAAAATAAAACAAAAACACTCAAAATTACATTAATTATACTAGTTCGTATGTGATATATTGCCTTTGGATTCTAACACCTTATTGCAGCTAGATTGATGGGGCAGTAAGCTGTGTATCTCCTTTGTGTATCTCCTTTATCGTTAAAATTATGTACTAATACAACGGGACAAGCGAATCGACCCAAGGATGAAAGGAAATGATCCTTTCGGTACCATCTGGTAAATTTGTGGCTTCGATCTCCCTAGCTTGTTTGGATTGTAGATCACAGCAGATGAAAACCTTTTGTAGAGCTCTTGTACGGTCAGCTATTGCTAATATGATACTGCGTCGTTCATCTCGGAAACCCAAATTATATATTTTAGCATGATGAAAATCAACATGTTTCAATTGCCCCGAGAGATGATGAAAAATTCGAGTCCAAGATATCTTCTTCTTGTTTAATACCCATATCTCCAAAGTATATGTTACGATACACAACTGTCCTTCTAAAATGGTCAATTCTGAGTCATCTTCACAGTTGGTATAGTTTATCTCTCTCTTTACCGGATGGGGTATCTGGTAATACCTTTGAGTGAAAAGATCGAAACACCTTATTCCTGTAAACAACAAAGGATTCATCCAATGGAAGGAGTTGTCAGCCAAGATAGCAGGTCGGGGGCTCATACAAAATTGATTCAACTGCCATGGCGGGCTCGGTATGTTCACCCAGGCATCCGTTTTCAAACTGTATAGTAGAGCTTTTTCGACATTTCGATCATTCCTCTCCATACAAATGGCTAAAACCTTATAATCATCGGATACACTGTCATAACCGAATGCAACTTCACGTTTCAATAAATTATTCATCGGGGAATTGAGTGGTGGTATCAATCTAGTGGCTCGAGTCGCAGGGTTGTAGAGAAACAGGCCTAGATTATTGTTGTAAGCAGATTTGTAAAAGGGTTGTAATGTTATTGAATGAAAACAAACTAGGCCATTGCATGAGCCTAAAACACCTCCCATGGTGCGAGGCTTTATGATGTCTTTCGGATAAGCAAGTTCCGAAGCATGGTAATAGGGATGCTGCGATGTAGCTCTAAAAGAGTAGACTTTGGATTTCCAGCACTCGAAGAGGAAATGCGTTTCCAGGTTTGCTTTGAGGGATCGACTGCGATGCAACTTCATGAACTTTGGATCTTTGGTAAGCATATACCACGATGAAGAGACACATGCAGATCGCAGCAGAGACTTAGCGGGTAGCCATGAGAGTATCTCAGTGATTAGTTCAAACGGAAGGTAGCAACAATCGGTCTTCGCTTTCTTCTCCATCCTCAGTATGCTTTAATTTAACAACTACACTACGAATTGTTGGTGCTTAATTGCTTATATAGGGAGATAAACAAAGATCAATCATACCTTTTACAATTCCAATTAGGATTAGGATTAGGATTAGGATTAGGATAGTTATTGCGGTTGTATTAGGGATATTTACTTCTTACAAGATCCTTGGTCTCCAAGGTTAATTTAAACAACCTTGATACCCAAGGATGTGTAATACACTAATACTTGGTCTTCAAGACATTATATGGTCGCCAAAAGTTAAAAAATAATATTTTTTTTTTATTTTTTTGTTATGATAACCATTAACCAATGAGAGAAGATGTATTTCCTAAACTAAACGTTAGATATTTTAATAGATATTTAAAAAGATTTGATTGAAAAGATAAACCAAATTATTATGGGATACATGATGCATCATTTAGTAACAAAAGTATTGACCAATTTACTTTGAATAATCTCAATTGTAAAAAATTTGCAAAAAAAAAAAAAATAAAAAAAAAATCCCTTAAAATATCCTTTTAAATTAGGAAAAATATACTTTATTAATCCCAAGTTTGACCAATTTGCTTTGAATAATCTCAACTATCGATTATTTTGCAATAATCCCAACTTTCACCTTCGTTTTCTTCTATCAACCTTGAAAACCAGTTACCTGCTGAAGATATTTTTTTTAATAAAATATAAAAATGTCACGTGTCACGAGATACATCCCTTGAAGGCTTGAACAGATTCCTCAAAATTGACATCTTGCCTCATAGCTGCAGTCTTTTTTTTTATCGGAAAACGAAGATTTATAAATTAATTAAAACCAAATCCACAAGCATAAAAAAAAAAAAAAAAAAAAAAAGCAGATCAACAACAAAAGCTACAAATTTCAACATGACAAAGCACTTGAATTAGTCTTATTCGTCCAAAAGCAAGAACAACAGCGCCTCCTACTGTAAAACAAGTCCACCAGTATCTGATATGCTCTCCCTAAGGCCTTCCTCAAATGCATCCATGGCACAATGCGTAGCCCCAGTATGGATCTTTTCTTCCTCCTCCATGCTTAAGCATGATTAGCTGAACCTAAAGTTGCCATCTTTCTTCAGGAACTCTCCTATATCAGCAAGAATTAGCGTTAAGAAAGCTATGTAGCCCTGTATGAATTGAACAAAATTCCCTTCTTGAATCAAAAACATCTCGGCAACTGTTACATGAAAACTGCCACTTGCAAGGTGATGACCAAAACCCAGAAACTCGACATTTTGAAGGCCTGTAATTAAAATTCCCTTCTAGATTCATTATTACAATTAAAATTACTACTAAAAATTCAACAATTAACAAGATTATAAGAAGTCTTTTTTCATTGCAAATATGCAATTAGACTTGTTAATTTATTAAATACTTGATAGCAATTTTTTTTTAAAAAAAGCTTGTATCTCATCATTTTATCCTGACAATAGTTACATCCTTGCTCAATACAATAGCCCTATTATCCTTCAAAAAATAAATACTCGTAAAAAAATAAAAATAAATAAATAAAAAAAAAAAAAAATAATAATAATAATAATAATAAAAATTCATCAAATTAACAACAACAACAAGAAGCATAATTTAATGACAAAAACGAGGTAAATAAAGATAATGGATGTTTATCACATCAATTCATGTTTATAATTATCAAAAATCTCATCAAAACATCCCTTCAAAAAAAATCATAACAGTTGAAAAAAATATTTAGAAATTAGATAAATCATAGAATTAATTTGTTTAATACATCATATAAACAAAATATACAAATAAAAAAAAATGAAGCTGAGAATAGGTGAATACCTGAAACCTCATGACTTCATTAGCCATGCTTGCCTTCTTCGCTTCTTCAGTAGCAGAAATTAGAGACAGAAAAACTAAGGAAGATGATACTGAGTATAACTTTTTGGGCCTAGCCCAATTGCTACATTTTATCACGGCCCAATATATTTTCTAACTGGGCCTTATGTTGGGCACGTAATTCAAGTCAGTATTGTTGTATAATTGTATCAATGGTTCAACTGTTAACCAACCCTGACCTAAACTGAAGAGTATTGTTTGAACTGAAACTAACCAAACCCCGAATGGTTCATAACTGAAAATTCAATGGGAAAAAAATTAATTACCACTTAAGTTAGTTGAAACTGAATTAATTTATAAATTGAAGTTAACTTAACTGAACTGAATTGTTTGGCCTTGGCATTGATTATTTTACATTCTCAACCCTTAAATGTTTCACCTTGTTCCCTTATGAAAAGTAGCAACATGTGCCAATTGCATGTGTGAGCTTGTTTTCTTTCTTTTGGTGTAGAGAAAATTTGAGAAAGTTGTGTCCCAAGTACCAACTAATGTCGTTCCATATGAACTCATGAATGATCTTGCATATTAATTTATCTTGCTATGTACAATACAAATACTTTGATCATTTATATATTTGATTTCAGATTAGTAAAAATTATTAAAGTTTATATATATCAAGATTTTTTTATATAACGCATCTCATATAACAATACGGCTAGTCAAACTCGAAATATTTTAATCTACTCGTCATAGTCATCAATCAATACAAACCTTAACAACAGCACCAATACACTAGAAGTCCAGAACATCCACTAGTTTAAAGCGAGTGAGTCTGGGCGCATAGCATTTATGGGCGAGTTATGTAAATAGGAGGGTAAGGAAGTAATTTCCGCTGATTCAATTTTTGCTTCTAGAATAAGTTGACTCTCTAGTGGTACATTATAATGCACCATTATGCATGTATAATGTACCATTAAAGTAAAATTTGTCTGAATAGTACGTTTTGTGGACTATTACGAGTGTAGTGGTACTTTTTACCATCCTATAACTTTCAATTTCTTGAAAAAGCTGACTCTCTAAGGGTACATATAATGTACCATTATGCATGAATAATGTACCACTAAAATATAAGTTATCTGAATACTACTTTTTAATTGCAAAATTGTCATCCTATATGCTTAGAAATCAATAGGCGCTATGAGCCAAGACTTAACCGTTTAACGCACTCATAAGTTCACGTGTTTCACTCAAAGAGCTAACAGGCCTAACACCAAAGACCTCTGAAATTCTGAGCAAAAAAAAAAAAAAAAAAAAAAAAGACAGAGAGAGAAAAACACACACACACACAGCTTACCTTCAGAGCCCTGAAATTATCTCTAAATTGCCAAATATTACATGATATAATCAATTAAGCAAAGAATGATACCTATTTTTGCATTAATTCCATACATTCTTCTTTTCAGTTCTAAAATTTGCTCTGCAATTGACAGTATTACACCAACACAATTCCTAAAAGACTCAGAATCAATACTTTCTAAAAATAGCATTTTCAAGCTAGGATTTTTCAGCCCTCAAAACTCTTCCAATCGTTATGTTGGAATATGATATAATCACCCTTTTGAAATGGAAGTTGTATCTTGTATGGGTAGCTAACAGGAACAATCCCCTCACTGATACTTCTATTGTACTTAAGATATCACTCGACGAAAATCTGCAAGTCTCTGATGCAAAAATATCAGACTGTTTGGTCATCCAATGTCACTCATCCTACAGCTGGTTTCGTAGCAGCTCAACTTCAAGATTCCGGGAACATTTTTATCCAAGGATTTCCGAACAACACGAGTCGTGGCAATGGGACGATCATATGGCAGAGTTTTCAGTATCCTGCAGACTCAGTCTTACCAAATATGAAGTTCATTCTTAACAATAATCCTGAATTCAGGAAAGTCGTGCAGGCCTGGAAAAGTCCTTCAGATCCATCAGTTGGAAGGTACTCAGTTGGTACTAACTCTAGGTTTTTTTCAGATTATCATATGGGATGGGGATCGCCCTTATTGGCGAAGTGGACCTTGGAATGGAAACATTTTCATGGGAACAAGATATCATAATACTGGTTATGGTAATATACTCATTAACACCGGGTCATTCGCACAGGAGGAAGTAAGAGGGATGCTTTCTCTGGTTTTTACAGGTGCGAATGAGACTTTGTTGCCTCGTTATGTAATAATTGATCAAGGGATATTAGCTGAAAGTGGTGGGATGATAGCAAGAAGAACAGGGGAATTGCGTGGCATGCCCCGGAAAATATATGTGACACCTATGGTATGTGTGGAGAATTTGGAAACTGCAACCCGCAGACTAAACCTATGTGCAGCTGCTTAAAAGGGTTTGTGCCGAAGAACGCGGAGGAATGGAGGAGAGGAAACTGGACAAGTGGGTGTGTGAGAAGAAAGAAGCTGCAATGTGGGGTTCAAGGGGGAAAACAAGATGGGTTTTTGAGGTTAAAGATGATGAAAGTGCCAGTTAATGCTGATATTGCTGAATGGTTTGTGGGTCTGAATCCTGATCAGTGCAGAACAACCTGCCTGGCAAACTGCTCTTGTTTGGCTTATACACATGATACTGGAACTGGATGTATGAGATGGAGCGAGAACTTGATTGACATAGAGGACCTTTCACCTGGAGGGGTGGACCTATTCATTCGGCTTGAACAATCAGAGCTAAGTAAGTTAATCATACCTCTTTGAAATTTTGAATGCTAGACACTTTAGGAGATATTATAGGCTTCTGAATTCTCATCTTCCCACCTAGTAAAAAAGATCATGTTAGTATGCATATGTAAAATAATTTCTTCTGCTTTGAAGGTACTAGTAAGAGATATGACTTTAGGAACAGCAGTGATTGCCACTATCATATACTTCCTGTTCAAATGGAGAGCTCGGAAAAAGGGTAAACACACATCGGATAGAAATAGAAAATCTAAATCAATACCAGAGAAAAAAGCTGGGAAAGCAACAGATTCATATCTATTCAAAGACAAAACCCAAGTAATGATTGAAGACTTAAAAGTCTCAAAACTTGAAGATCTGATAATAGCAACAGACGGCTTTAGTGAGAGTAACTTGCTCGGGAAGGGTGGTTTTGGCCAAGGTAAGAATGAGTTCAATTCAAACATGATCTTACGTAGTCTAAAATGCAACAAAACGTAGCAGGAGATAATATGATGTTTGTTTACAGGGTAAACTAGAAAATGGTCAAGAAATAGCAGTAAAAAGGCTTTCAAGAGCATCTGGGCAAGGTGTAGAAGAATTCATCAACGAAGTTGAATTCATCTAAAAACTTCAGCAATTTCAGATTTCTAATAAAGCTGTAATCAAGCGAAACAGGAACATCATTATAAAACGGAGGGAATAGTACATGTTAAAAGAAAAAATAAAACAAAAACACTCAAAATTACATTAATTATACTAGTTCGTATGTGATATATTGCCTTTGGATTCTAACACCTTATTGCAGCTAGATTGATGGGGCAGTAAGCTGTGTATCTCCTTTGTGTATCTCCTCTATCGTTAAAATTATGTACTAATACAACGGGACAAGCGAATCGACCCAAGGATGAAAGGAAATGATCCTTTCGGTACCATCTGGTAAATTTGTGGCTTCGATCTCCCTAGCTTGTTTGGATTGTAGATCACAGCAGATGAAAACCTTTTGTAGAGCTCTTGTACGGTCAGCTATTGCTAATATGATACTGCGTCGTTCATCTCGGAAACCCAAATTATATATTTTAGCATGATGAAAATCAACATGTTTCAATTGCCCCGAGAGATGATGAAAAATTCGAGTCCAAGATTTCTTCTTCTTGTTTAATACCCATATCTCCAAAGTATATGTTACGATACACAACTGTCCTTCTAAAATGGTCAATTCTGAGTCATCTTCACAGTTGGTATAGTTTATCTCTCTCTTTACCGGATGGGGTATCTGGTAATACCTTTGAGTGAAAAGATCGAAACACCTTATTCCTGTAAACAACAAAGGATTCATCCAATGGAAGGAGTTGTCAGCCAAGATAGCAGGTCGGGGGCTCATACAAAATTGATTCAACTGCCATGGCGGGCTCGGTATGTTCACCCAGGCATCCGTTTTCAAACTGTATAGTAGAGCTTTTTCGACATTTCGATCATTCCTCTCCATACAAATGGCTAAAACCTTATAATCATCGGATACACTGTCATAACCGAATGCAACTTCATGGTTCAATAAATTATTCATCGGGGAATTGAGTGGTGGTATCAATCTAGTGGCTCGAGTCGCAGGGTTGTAGAGAAACAGGCCTAGATTATTGTTGTAAGCAGATTTGTAAAAGGGTTGTAATGTTATTGAATGAAAACAAACTAGGCCATTGCATGAGCCTAAAACACCTCCCATGGTGCGAGGCTTTATGATGTCTTTCGGATAAGCAAGTTCCGAAGCATGGTAATAGGGATGCTGCGATGTAGCTCTAAAAGAGTAGACTTTGGATTTCCAGCACTCGAAGAGGAAATGCGTTTCCAGGTTTGCTTTGAGGGATCGACTGCGATGCAACTTCATGAACTTTGGATCTTTGGTAAGCATATACCACGATGAAGAGACACATGCAGATCGCAGCAGAGACTTAGCGGGTAGCCATGAGAGTATCTCAGTGATTAGTTCAAACGGAAGGTAGCAACAATCGGTCTTCGCTTTCTTCTCCATCCTCAGTATGCTTTAATTTAACAACTACACTACGAATTGTTGGTGCTTAATTGCTTATATAGGGAGATAAACAAAGATCAATCATACCTTTTACAATTCCAATTAGGATTAGGATTAGGATTAGGATTAGGATAGTTATTGCGGTTGTATTAGGGATATTTACTTCTTACAAGATCCTTGGTCTCCAAGGTTAATTTAAACAACCTTGATACCCAAGGATGTGTAATACACTAATACTTGGTCTTCAAGACATTATATGGTCGCCAAAAATTAAAAAATAATATTTTTTTTTTATTTTTTTGTTATGATAACCATTAACCAATGAGAGAAGATGTATTTCCTAAACTAAACGTTAGATATTTTAATAGATATTTAAAAAGATTTGATTGAAAAGATAAACCAAATTATTATGGGATACATGATGCATCATTTAGTAACAAAAGTATTGACCAATTTACTTTGAATAATCTCAATTGTAAAAAATTTGCAAAAAAAAAAAAAAATAAAAAAAAAAATCCCTTAAAATATCCTTTTAAATTAGGAAAAATATACTTTATTAATCCCAAGTTTGACCAATTTGCTTTGAATAATCTCAACTATCGATTATTTTGCAATAATCCCAACTTTCACCTTCGTTTTCTTCTATCAACCTTGAAAACCAGTTACCTGCTGAAGATATTTTTTTTAATAAAATATAAAAATGTCACGTGTCACGAGATACATCCCTTGAAGGCTTGAACAGATTCCTTAAAATTGACATCTTGCCTCATAGCTGCAGTCTTTTTTTTTATCGGAAAACGAAGATTTATAAATTAATTAAAACCAAATCCACAAGCATAAAAAAAAAAAAAAAAAAAAAAAAAAAAAAGCAGATCAACAACAAAAGCTACAAATTTCAACATGACAAAGCACTTGAATTAGTCTTATTCGTCCAAAAGCAAGAACAACAGCGCCTCCTACTGTAAAACAAGTCCACCAGTATCTGATATGCTCTCCCTAAGGCCTTCCTCAAATGCATCCATGGCACAATGCGTAGCCCCAGTATGGATCTTTTCTTCCTCCTCCATGCTTAAGCATGATTAGCTGAACCTAAAGTTGCCATCTTTCTTCAGGAACTCTCCTATATCAGCAAGAATTAGCGTTAAGAAAGCTATGTAGCCCTGTATGAATTGAACAAAATTCCCTTCTTGAATCAAAAACATCTCGGCAACTGTTACATGAAAACTGCCACTTGCAAGGTGATGACCAAAACCCAGAAACTCGACATTTTGAAGGCCTGTAATTAAAATTCCCTTCTAGATTCATTATTACAATTAAAATTACTACTAAAAATTCAACAATTAACAAGATTATAAGAAGTCTTTTTTCATTGCAAATATGCAATTAGACTTGTTAATTTATTAAATACTTGATAGCAATTTTTTTTTAAAAAAAGCTTGTATCTCATCATTTTATCCTGACAATAGTTACATCCTTGCTCAATACAATAGCCCTATTATCCTTCAAAAAATAAATACTCGTAAAAAAATAAAAAATAAATAAATAAAAAAAAAAAAAAAAAAAAATAATAATAATAATAATAATAATAATAATAAAAATTCATCAAATTAACAACAACAACAAGAAGCATAATTTAATGACAAAAACGAGGTAAATAAAGATAATGGATGTTTATCACATCAATTCATGTTTATAATTATCAAAAATCTCATCAAAACATCCCTTCAAAAAAAATCATAACAGTTGAAAAAATATTTAGAAATTAGATAAATCATAGAATTAATTTGTTTAATACATCATATAAACAAAATATACAAATAAAAAAAAATGAAGCTGAGAATAGGTGAATACCTGAAACCTCATGACTTCATTAGCCATGCTTGCCTTCTTCGCTTCTTCAGTAGCAGAAATTAGAGACAGAAAAACTAAGGAAGATGATACTGAGTATAACTTTTTGGGCCTAGCCCAATTGCTACATTTTATCACGGCCCAATATATTTTCTAACTGGGCCTTATGTTGGGCACGTAATTCAAGTCAGTATTGTTGTATAATTGTATCAATGGTTCAACTGTTAACCAACCCTGACCTAAACTGAAGAGTATTGTTTGAACTGAAACTAACCAAACCCCGAATGGTTCATAACTGAAAATTCAATGGGAAAAAAATTAATTACCACTTAAGTTAGTTGAAACTGAATTAATTTATAAATTGAAATTAACTTAACTGAACTGAATTGTTTGGCCTTGGCATTGATTATTTTACATTCTCAACCCTTAAATGTTTCACCTTGTTCCCTTATGAAAAGTAGCAACATGTGCCAATTGCATGTGTGAGCTTGTTTTCTTTCTTTTGGTGTAGAGAAAATTTGAGAAAGTTGTGTCCCAAGTACCAACTAATGTCGTTCCATATGAACTCATGAATGATCTTGCATATTAATTTATCTTGCTATGTACAATACAAATACTTTGATCATTTATATATTTGATTTCAGATTAGTAAAAATTATTAAAGTTTATATATATCAAGATTTTTTTATATAACGCATCTCATATAACAATACGGCTAGTCAAACTCGAAATATTTTAATCTACTCGTCATAGTCGTCAATCAATACAAACCTTAACAACAGCACCAATACACTAGAAGTCCAGAACATCCACTAGTTTAAAGCGAGTGAGTCTGGGCGCATAGCATTTATGGGCGAGTTATGTAAATAGGAGGGTAAGGAAGTAATTTCCGCTGATTCAATTTTTGCTTCTAGAATAAGTTGACTCTCTAGTGGTACATTATAATGCACCATTATGCATGTATAATGTACCATTAAAGTAAAATTTGTCTGAATAGTACGTTTTGTGGACTATTACGAGTGTAGTGGTACTTTTTACCATCCTATAACTTTCAATTTCTTGAAAAAGCTGACTCTCTAAGGGTACATATAATGTACCATTATGCATGAATAATGTACCACTAAAATATAAGTTATCTGAATACTACTTTTTAATTGCAAAATTGTCATCCTATATGCTTAGAAATCAATAGGCGCTATGAGCCAAGACTTAACCGTTTAAAGCACTCATAAGTTCACGTGTTTCACTCAAAGAGCTAACAGGCCTAACACCAAAGACCTCTGAAATTCTGAGCAAAAAAAAAAAAAAAAAAAAAAGAGAGAGAGAGAAAAACACACACACACACAGCTTACCTTCAGAGCCCTGATATTATCTCTAAATTGCCAAATATTACATGATATAATCAATTAAGCAAAGAATGATACCTATTTTTGCATTAATTCCATACATTCTTCTTTTCAGTTCTAAAATTTGCTCTGCAATTGACAGTATTACACCAACACAATTCCTAAAAGACTCAGAATCAATACTTTCTAAAAATAGCATTTTCAAGCTAGGATTTTTCAGCCCTCAAAACTCTTCCAATCGTTATGTTGGAATATGATATAATCACCCTTTTGAAATGGAAGTTGTATCTTGTATGGGTAGCTAACAGGAACAATCCCCTCACTGATACTTCTATTGTACTTAAGATATCACTCGACGAAAATCTGCAAGTCTCTGATGCAAAAATATCAGACTGTTTGGTCATCCAATGTCACTCATCCTACAGCTGGTTTCGTAGCAGCTCAACTTCAAGATTCCGGGAACATTTTTATCCAAGGATTTCCGAACAACACGAGTCGTGGCAATGGGACGATCATATGGCAGAGTTTTCAGTATCCTGCAGACTCAGTCTTACCAAATATGAAGTTCATTCTTAACAATAATCCTGAATTCAGGAAAGTCGTGCAGGCCTGGAAAAGTCCTTCAGATCCATCAGTTGGAAGGTACTCAGTTGGTACTAACTCTAGGTTTTTTCAGATTATCATATGGGATGGGGATCGCCCTTATTGGCGAAGTGGACCTTGGAATGGAAACATTTTCATGGGAACAAGATATCATAATACTGGTTATGGTAATATACTCATTAACACCGGGTCATTCGCACAGGAGGAAGTAAGAGGGATGCTTTCTCTGGTTTTTACAGGTGTGAATGAGACTTTGTTGCCTCGTTATGTAATAATTGATCAAGGGATATTAGCTGAAAGTGGTGGGATGATAGCAAGAAGAACAGGGGAATTGCGTGGCATGCCCCGGAAAATATATGTGACACCTATGGTATGTGTGGAGAATTTGGAAACTGCAACCCGCAGACTAAACCTATGTGCAGCTGCTTAAAAGGGTTTGTGCCGAAGAACGCGGAGGAATGGAGGAGAGGAAACTGGACAAGTGGGTGTGTGAGAAGAAAGAAGCTGCAATGTGGGGTTCAAGGGGGAAAACAAGATGGGTTTTTGAGGTTAAAGATGATGAAAGTGCCAGTTAATGCTGATATTGCTGAATGGTTTGTGGGTCTGAATCCTGATCAGTGCAGAACAACCTGCCTGGCAAACTGCTCTTGTTTGGCTTATACACATGATACTGGAACTGGATGTATGAGATGGAGCGAGAACTTGATTGACATAGAGGACCTTTCACCTGGAGGGGTGGACCTATTCATTCGGCTTGAACAATCAGAGCTAAGTAAGTTAATCATACCTCTTTGAAATTTTGAATGCTAGACACTTTAGGAGATATTATAGGCTTCTGAATTCTCATCTTCCCACCTAGTAAAAAAGATCATGTTAGTATGCATATGTAAAATAATTTCTTCTGCTTTGAAGGTACTAGTAAGAGATATGACTTTAGGAACAGCAGTGATTGCCACTATCATATACTTCCTGTTCAAATGGAGAGCTCGGAAAAAGGGTAAACACACATCGGATAGAAATAGAAAATCTAAATCAATACCAGAGAAAAAAGCTGGGAAAGCAACAGATTCATATCTATTCAAAGACAAAACCCAAGTAATGATTGAAGACTTAAAAGTCTCAAAACTTGAAGATCTGATAATAGCAACAGACGGCTTTAGTGAGAGTAACTTGCTCGGGAAGGGTGGTTTTGGCCAAGGTAAGAATGAGTTCAATTCAAACATGATCTTACGTAGTCTAAAATGCAACAAAACGTAGCAGGAGATAATATGATGTTTGTTTACAGGGTAAACTAGAAAATGGTCAAGAAATAGCAGTAAAAAGGCTTTCAAGAGCATCTGGGCAAGGTGTAGAAGAATTCATCAACGAAGTTGAATTCATCTAAAAACTTCAGCAATTTCAGATTTCTAATAAAGCTGTAATCAAGCGAAACAGGAACATCATTATAAAACGGAGGGAATAGTACATGTTAAAAGAAAAAATAAAACAAAAACACTCAAAATTACATTAATTATACTAGTTCGTATGTGATATATTGCCTTTGGATTCTAACACCTTATTGCAGCTAGATTGATGGGGCAGTAAGCTGTGTATCTCCTTTGTGTATCTCCTCTATCGTTAAAATTATGTACTAATACAACGGGACAAGCGAATCGACCCAAGGATGAAAGGAAATGATCCTTTCGGTACCATCTGGTAAATTTGTGGCTTCGATCTCCCTAGCTTGTTTGGATTGTAGATCACAGCAGATGAAAACCTTTTGTAGAGCTCTTGTACGGTCAGCTATTGCTAATATGATACTGCGTCGTTCATCTCGGAAACCCAAATTATATATTTTAGCATGATGAAAATCAACATGTTTCAATTGCCCCGAGAGATGATGAAAAATTCGAGTCCAAGATATCTTCTTCTTGTTTAATACCCATATCTCCAAAGTATATGTTACGATACACAACTGTCCTTCTAAAATGGTCAATTCTGAGTCATCTTCACAGTTGGTATAGTTTATCTCTCTCTTTACCGGATGGGGTATCTGGTAATACCTTTGAGTGAAAAGATCGAAACACCTTATTCCTGTAAACAACAAAGGATTCATCCAATGGAAGGAGTTGTCAGCCAAGATAGCAGGTCGGGGGCTCATACAAAATTGATTCAACTGCCATGGCGGGCTCGGTATGTTCACCCAGGCATCCGTTTTCAAACTGTATAGTAGAGCTTTTTCGACATTTCGATCATTCCTCTCCATACAAATGGCTAAAACCTTATAATCATCGGATACACTGTCATAACCGAATGCAACTTCACGTTTCAATAAATTATTCATCGGGGAATTGAGTGGTGGTATCAATCTAGTGGCTCGAGTCGCAGGGTTGTAGAGAAACAGGCCTAGATTATTGTTGTAAGCAGATTTGTAAAAGGGTTGTAATGTTATTGAATGAAAACAAACTAGGCCATTGCATGAGCCTAAAACACCTCCCATGGTGCGAGGCTTTATGATGTCTTTCGGATAAGCAAGTTCCGAAGCATGGTAATAGGGATGCTGCGATGTAGCTCTAAAAGAGTAGACTTTGGATTTCCAGCACTCGAAGAGGAAATGCGTTTCCAGGTTTGCTTTGAGGGATCGACTGCGATGCAACTTCATGAACTTTGGATCTTTGGTAAGCATATACCACGATGAAGAGACACATGCAGATCGCAGCAGAGACTTAGCGGGTAGCCATGAGAGTATCTCAGTGATTAGTTCAAACGGAAGGTAGCAACAATCGGTCTTCGCTTTCTTCTCCATCCTCAGTATGCTTTAATTTAACAACTACACTACGAATTGTTGGTGCTTAATTGCTTATATAGGGAGATAAACAAAGATCAATCATACCTTTTACAATTCCAATTAGGATTAGGATTAGGATTAGGATAGTTATTGCGGTTGTATTAGGGATATTTACTTCTTACAAGATCCTTGGTCTCCAAGGTTAATTTAAACAACCTTGATTCCCAAGGATGTGTAATACACTAATACTTGGTCTTCAAGACATTATATGGTCGCCAAAAATTAAAAAATAATATTTTTTTTTTTTATTTTTTTGTTATGATAACCATTAACCAATGAGAGAAGATGTATTTCCTAAACTAAACGTTAGATATTTTAATAGATATTTAAAAAGATTTGATTGAAAAGATAAACCAAATTATTATGGGATACATGATGCATCATTTAGTAACAAAAGTATTGACCAATTTACTTTGAATAATCTCAATTGTAAAAAATTTGCACAAAAAAAAAATAAAAAATAAAAAAAAAATCCCTTAAAATATCCTTTTAAATTAGGAAAAATATACTTTATTAATCCCAAGTTTGACCAATTTACTTTGAATAATCTCAACTATCGATTATTTTGCAATAATCCCAACTTTCACCTTCGTTTTCTTCTATCAACTTTGAAAACCAGTTACCTGCTGAAGATGTTTTTTTTAATAAAATATAAAAATGTCACGTGTCACGAGATACATCCCTTGAAGGCTTGAACAGATTCCTCAAAATTGACATCTTGCCTCATAGCTGCAGTCTTTTTTTTTATCGGAAAACGAAGATTTATAAATTAATTAAAACCAAATCCACAAGCATAAAAAAAAAAAAAAAAGCAGATCAACAACAAAAGCTACAAATTTCAACATGACAAAGCACTTGAATTAGTCTTATTCGTCCAAAAGCAAGAACAACAGCGCCTCCTACTGTAAAACAAGTCCACCAGTATCTGATATGCTCTCCCTAAGGCCTTCCTCAAATGCATCCATGGCACAATGCGTAGCCCCAGTATGGATCTTTTCTTCCTCCTCCATGCTTAAGCATGATTAGCTGAACCTAAAGTTGCCATCTTTCTTCAGGAACTCTCCTATATCAGCAAGAATTAGCGTTAAGAAAGCTATGTAGCCCTGTATGAATTGAACAAAATTCCCTTCTTGAATCAAAAACATCTCGGCAACTGTTACATGAAAACTGCCACTTGCAAGGTGATGACCAAAACCCAGAAACTCGACATTTTGAAGGCCTGTAATTAAAATTCCCTTCTAGATTCATTATTACAATTAAAATTACTACTAAAAATTCAACAATTAACAAGATTATAAGAAGTCTTTTTTCATTGCAAATATGCAATTAGACTTGTTAATTTATTAAATACTTGATAGCAATTTTTTTAAAAAAAAAAGCTTGTATCTCATCATTTTATCCTGACAATAGTTACATCCTTGCTCAATACAATAGCCCTATTATCCTTCAAAAAATAAATACTCGTAAAAAAATAAAAATAAATAAATAAATAATAAATAATAATAATAATAATAATAATAATAATAATAATAATAATAATAATAATAATAATAATAATAATTCATCAAATTAACAACAACAACAAGAAGCATAATTTAATGACAAAAACGAGGTAAATAAAGATAATGGATGTTTATCACATCAATTCATGTTTATAATTATCAAAAATCTCATCAAAACATCCCTTCAAAAAAAATCATAACAGTTGAAAAAATATTTAGAAATTAGATAAATCATAGAATTAATTTGTTTAATACATCATATAAACAAAATATACAAATAAAAAAAATGAAGCTGAGAATAGGTGAATACCTGAAACCTCATGACTTCATTAGCCATGCTTGCCTTCTTCGCTTCTTCAGTAGCAGAAATTAGAGACAGAAAAACTAAGGAAGATGATACTGAGTATAACTTTTTGGGCCTAGCCCAATTGCTACATTTTATCACGGCCCAATATATTTTCTAACTGGGCCTTATGTTGGGCACGTAATTCAAGTCAGTATTGTTGTATAATTGTATCAATGGTTCAACTGTTAACCAACCCTGACCTAAACTGAAGAGTATTGTTTGAACTGAAACTAACCAAACCCCGAATGGTTCATAACTGAAAATTCAATGGGAAAAAAAATTAATTACCACTTAAGTTAGTTGAAACTGAATTAATTTATAAATTGAAGTTAACTTAACTGAACTGAATTGTTTGGCCTTGGCATTGATTATTTTACATTCTCAACCCTTAAATGTTTCACCTTGTTCCCTTATGAAAAGTAGCAACATGTGCCAATTGCATGTGTGAGCTTGTTTTCTTTCTTTTGGTGTAGAGAAAATTTGAGAAAGTTGTGTCCCAAGTACCAACTAATGTCGTTCCATATGAACTCATGAATGATCTTGCATATTAATTTATCTTGCTATGTAACAATACAAATACTTTGATCATTTATATATTTGATTTCAGATTAGTAAAAATTATTAAAGTTTATATCTATCAAGATTTTTTTATATAACGCATCTCATATAACAATACGGCTAGTCAAACTCGAAATATTTTAATCTACTCGTCATAGTCGTCAATACAGCACCAATACACTAGAAGTCCAGAACATCCACTAGTTTAAAGCGAGTGAGTCTGGGCGCATAACATTTATGGCCGAGTTATGTAAATAGGAGGGTAAGGAAGTAATTTCCGCTGATTCAATTTTTGCTCTAGAATAAGTTGACTCTCTAGTGGTACATTATAATGCACCATTATGCATGTATAATGTACCATTAAAGTAAAATTTGTCTGAATAGTACGTTTTGTGGACTATTACGAGTGTAGTGGTACTTTTTACCATCCTATAACTTTCAATTTCTTGAAAAAGCTGACTCTTTAAGGGTACATATAATGTACCATTATGCATGAATAATGTACCACTAAAATATAAGTTATCTGAATACTACTTTTTAATTGCAAAATTGTCATCCTATATGCTTAGAAATCAATAGGCGCTATGAGCCAAGACTTAACCGTTTAACGCACTCATAAGTTCACGTGTTTCACTCAAAGAGCTAACAGGCCTAACACCAAAGACCTCTGAAATTCTGAGCAAAAAAAAAAAAAAAAAAAAAAAAGACAGAGAGAGAAAAACACACACACACACAGCTTACCTTCAGAGCCCTGAAATTATCTCTAAATTGCCAAATATTACATGATATAATCAATTAAGCAAAGAATGATACCTATTTTTGCATTAATTCCATACATTCTTCGTTTCAGTTCTAAAATTTGCTCTGCAATTGACAGTATTACACCAACACAATTCCTAAAAGACTCAGAATCAATACTTTCTAAAAATAGCATTTTCAAGCTAGGATTTTTCAGCCCTCAAAACTCTTCCAATCGTTATGTTGGAATCTTATATAATCACCCTTTTGAAATGGAAGTTGTATCTTGTATGGGTAGCTAACAGGAACAATCCCCTCACTGATACTTCTATTGTACTTAAGATATCACTCGACGAAAATCTGCAAGTCTCTGATGCAAAAATATCAGACTGTTTGGTCATCCAATGTCACTCATCCTACAGCTGGTTTCGTAGCAGCTCAACTTCAAGATTCCGGGAACATTTTTATCCAAGGATTTCCGAACAACACGAGTCGTGGCAATGGGACGATCATATGGCAGAGTTTTCAGTATCCTGCAGACTCAGTCTTACCAAATATGAAGTTCATTCTTAACAATAATCCTGAATTCAGGAAAGTCGTGCAGGCTTGGAAAAGTCCTTCAGATCCATCAGTTGGAAGGTACTTAGTTGGTACTAACTCTAGGTTTTTTCAGATTATCATATGGGATGGGGATCGCCCTTATTGGCGAAGTGGACCTTGGAATGGAAACATTTTCATGGGAACAAGATATTATAATACTGGTTATGGTAATATACTCATTAACACCGGGTCATTCGCACAGGAGGAAGTAAGAGGGATGCTTTCTCTGGTTTTTACAGGTGCGAATGAGACTTTGTTGCCTCGTTATGTAATAATTGATCAAGGGATATTAGCTGAAAGTGGTGGGATGATAGCAAGAAGAACAGGGGAATTGCGTGGCATGCCCCGGAAAATATATGTGACACCTATGGTATGTGTGGAGAATTTGGAAACTGCAACCCGCAGACTAAACCTATGTGCAGCTGCTTAAAAGGGTTTGTGCCAAAGAACGCGGAGGAATGGAGGAGAGGAAACTGGACAAGTGGGTGTGTGAGAAGAAAGAAGCTGCAATGTGGGGTTCAAGGGGGAAAACAAGATGGGTTTTTGAGGTTAAAGATGATGAAAGTGCCAGTTAATGCTGATATTGTTGAATGGTTTGTGGGTCTGAATCCTGATCAGTGCAGAACAACCTGCCTGGCAAACTGCTCTTGTTTGGCTTATACACATGATACTGGAACTGGATGTATGAGATGGAGCGAGAACTTGATTGACATAGAGGACCTTTCACCTGGAGGGGTGGACCTATTCATTCGGCTTGAACAATCAGAGCTAAGTAAGTTAATCATACCTCTTTGAAATTTTGAATGCTAGACACTTTAGGAGATATTATAGGCATCTGAATTCTCATCTTCCCACCTAGTAAAAAAGATCATGTTAGTATGCATATGTAAAATAATTTCTTCTGCTTTGAAGGTACTAGTAAGAGATATGACTTTAGGAACAGCAGTGATTGCCACTATCATATACTTCCTGTTCAAATGGAGAGCTCGGAAAAAGGGTAAACACACATCGGATAGAAATAGAAAATCTAAATCAATACCAGAGAAAAAAGCTGGGAAAGCAACAGATTCATATCTATTCAAAGACAAAACCCAAGTAATGATTGAAGACTTAAAAGTCTCAAAACTTGAAGATCTGATAATAGCAACAGACGGCTTTAGTGAGAGTAACTTGCTCGGGAAGGGTGGTTTTGGCCAAGGTAAGAATGAGTTCAATTCAAACATGATCTTACGTAGTCTAAAATGCAACAAAACGTAGCAGGAGATAATATGATGTTTGTTTACAGGGTAAACTAGAAAATGGTCAAGAAATAGCAGTAAAAAGGCTTTCAAGAGCATCTGGGCAAGGTGTAGAAGAATTCATCAACGAAGTTGAATTCATCTAAAAACTTCAGCAATTTCAGATTTCTAATAAAGCTGTAATCAAGCGAAACAGGAACATCATTATAAAACGGAGGGAATAGTACATGTTAAAAGAAAAAATAAAACAAAAACACTCAAAATTACATTAATTATACTAGTTCGTATGTGATATATTGCCTTTGGATTCTAACACCTTATTGCAGCTAGATTGATGGGGCAGTAAGCTGTGTATCTCCTTTGTGTATCTCCTTTATCGTTAAAATTATGTACTAATACAACGGGACAAGCGAATCGACCCAAGGATGAAAGGAAATGATCCTTTCGGTACCATCTGGTAAATTTGTGGCTTCGATCTCCCTAGCTTGTTTGGATTGTAGATCACAGCAGATGAAAACCTTTTGTAGAGCTCTTGTACGGTCAGCTATTGCTAATATGATACTGCGTCGTTCATCTCGGAAACCCAAATTATATATTTTAGCATGATGAAAATCAACATGTTTCAATTGCCCCGAGAGATGATGAAAAATTCGAGTCCAAGATATCTTCTTCTTGTTTAATACCCATATCTCCAAAGTATATGTTACGATACACAACTGTCCTTCTAAAATGGTCAATTCTGAGTCATCTTCACAGTTGGTATAGTTTATCTCTCTCTTTACCGGATGGGGTATCTGGTAATACCTTTGAGTGAAAAGATCGAAACACCTTATTCCTGTAAACAACAAAGGATTCATCCAATGGAAGGAGTTGTCAGCCAAGATAGCAGGTCGGGGGCTCATACAAAATTGATTCAACTTGCCATGGCGGGCTCGGTATGTTCACCCAGGCATCCGTTTTCAAACTGTATAGTAGAGCTTTTTCGACATTTCGATCATTCCTCTCCATACAAATGGCTAAAACCTTATAATCATCGGATACACTGTCATAACCGAATGCAACTTCACGTTTCAATAAATTATTCATCGGGGAATTGAGTGGTGGTATCAATCTAGTGGCTCGAGTCGCAGGGTTGTAGAGAAACAGGCCTAGATTATTGTTGTAAGCAGATTTGTAAAAGGGTTGTAATGTTATTGAATGAAAACAAACTAGGCCATTGCATGAGCCTAAAACACCTCCCATGGTGCGAGGCTTTATGATGTCTTTCGGATAAGCAAGTTCCGAAGCATGGTAATAGGGATGCTGCGATGTAGCTCTAAAAGAGTAGACTTTGGATTTCCAGCACTCGAAGAGGAAATGCGTTTCCAGGTTTGCTTTGAGGGATCGACTGCGATGCAACTTCATGAACTTTGGATCTTTGGTAAGCATATACCACGATGAAGAGACACATGCAGATCGCAGCAGAGACTTAGCGGGTAGCCATGAGAGTATCTCAGTGATTAGTTCAAACGGAAGGTAGCAACAATCGGTCTTCGCTTTATTCTCCATCCTCAGTATGCTTTAATTTAACAACTACACTACGAATTGTTGGTGCTTAATTGCTTATATAGGGAGATAAACAAAGATCAATCATACCTTTTACAATTCCAATTAGGATTAGGATTAGGATTAGGATAGTTATTGCGGTTGTATTAGGGATATTTACTTCTTACAAGATCCTTGGTCTCCAAGGTTAATTTAAACAACCTTGATTCCCAAGGATGTGTAATACCACTAATACTTGGTCTTCAAGACATTATATGGTCGCCAAAAATTAAAAAAATAATATTTTTTTTTTTATTTTTTTGTTATGATAACCATTAACCAATGAGAGAAGATGTATTTTCTAAACTAAACGTTAGATATTTTAATAGATATTTAAAAAGATTTGATTGAAAAGATAAACCAAATTATTATGGGATACATGATGCATCATTTAGTAACAAAAGTATTGACCAATTTACTTTGAATAATCTCAATTGTAAAAAAATTTGCACAAAAAAAAATAAAAAATAAAAAAAAAAATCCCTTAAAATATCCTTTTAAATTAGGAAAAATATACTTTATTAATCCCAAGTTTGACCAATTTACTTTGAATAATCTCAACTATCGATTATTTTGCAATAATCCCAACTTTCACCTTCGTTTTCTTCTATCAACTTTGAAAACCAGTTACCTGCTGAAGATGTTTTTTTTAATAAAATATAAAAATGTCACGTGTCACGAGATACATCCCTTGAAGGCTTGAACAGATTCCTCAAAATTGACATCTTGCCTCATAGCTGCAGTCTTTTTTTTATCGGAAAACGAAGATTTATAAATTAATTAAAAACCAAATCCACAAGCATAAAAAAAAAAAAAAAAGCAGATCAACAACAAAAGCTACAAATTTCAACATGACAAAGCACTTGAATTAGTCTTATTCGTCCAAAAGCAAGAACAAACAGCGCCTCCTACTGTAAAACAAGTCCACCAGTATCTGATATGCTCTCCCTAAGGCCTTCCTCAAATGCATCCATGGCACAATGCGTAGCCCCAGTATGGATCTTTTCTTCCTCCTCCATGCTTAAGCATGATTAGCTGAACCTAAAGTTGCCATCTTTCTTCAGGAACTCTCCTATATCAGCAAGAATTAGCGTTAAGAAAGCTATGTAGCCCTGTATGAATTGAACAAAATTCCCTTCTTGAATCAAAAACATCTCGGCAACTGTTACATGAAAACTGCCACTTGCAAGGTGATGACCAAAACCCAGAAACTCGACATTTTGAAGGCCTGTAATTAAAATTCCCTTCTAGATTCATTATTACAATTAAAATTACTACTAAAAATTCAACAATTAACAAGATTATAAGAAGTCTTTTTTCATTGCAAATATGCAATTAGACTTGTTAATTTATTAAATACTTGATAGCAATTTTTTTTAAAAAAAAGCTTGTATCTCATCATTTTATCCTGACAATAGTTACATCCTTGCTCAGTACAATAGCCCTATTATCCTTCAAAAAATAAATACTCGTAAAAAAATAAAAATAAATAAATAAAAAATAATAATAATAATAATAATAATAATAATAATAATAATAATAATAATAATAATAATAATAATAATAATAATAATAATATAATAATTCATCAAATTAACAACAACAACAAGAAGCATAATTTAATGACAAAAACGAGGTAAATAAAGATAATGGATGTTTATCACATCAATTCATGTTTATAATTATCAAAAATCTCATCAAAACATCCCTTCAAAAAAAATTCATAACAGTTGAAAAAATATTTAGAAATTAGATAAATCATAGAATTAATTTGTTTAATACATCATATAAACAAAATATACAAATAAAAAAAATGAAGCTGAGAATAGGTGAATACCTGAAACCTCATGACTTCATTAGCCATGCTTGCCTTCTTCGCTTCTTCAGTAGCAGAAATTAGAGACAGAAAAACTAAGGAAGATGATACTGAGTATAACTTTTTGGCCTAGCCCAATTGCTACATTTTATCACGGCCCAATATATTTTCTAACTGGGCCTTATGTTGGGCACGTAATTCAAGTCAGTATTGTTGTATAATTGTATCAATGGTTCAACTGTTAACCAACCCTGACCTAAACTGAAGAGTATTGTTTGAACTGAAACTAACCAAACCCCGAATGGTTCATAACTGAAAATTCAATGGGAAAAAAAATTAATTACCACTTAAGTTAGTTGAAACTGAATTAATTTATAAATTGAAGTTAACTTAACTGAACTGAATTGTTTGGCCTTGGCATTGATTAATTTACATTCTCAACCCTTAAATGTTTCACCTTGTTCCCTTATGAAAAGTAGCAACATGTGCCAATTGCATGTGTGAGCTTGTTTTCTTTCTTTTGGTGTAGAGAAAATTTGAGAAAGTTGTGTCCCAAGTACCAAACTAATGTCGTTCCATATGAACTCATGAATGATCTTGCATATTAATTTATCTTGCTATGTAACAATACAAATACTTTTGATCATTTATATATTTGATTTCAGATTAGTAAAAATTATTAAAGTTTATATCTATCAAGATTTTTTTATATAACGCATCTCATATAACAATACGGCTAGTCAAACTCGAAAATATTTTAATCTACTCGTCATAGTCGTCAATACAGCACCAATACACTAGAAGTCCAGAACATCCACTAGTTTAAAGCGAGTGAGTCTGGGCGCATAGCATTTATGGCCGAGTTATGTAAATAGGAGGGTAAGGAAGTAATTTCCGCTGATTCAATTTTTGCTTCTAGAATAAGTTGACTCTCTAGTGGTACATTATAATGCACCATTATGCATGTATAATGTACCATTAAAGTAAAATTTTGTCTGAATAGTACGTTTTGTGGACTATTACGAGTGTAGTGGTACTTTTTACCATCCTATAACTTTCAATTTCTTGAAAAAGCTGACTCTCTAAGGGTACATATAATGTACCATTATGCATGAATAATGTACCACTAAAATATAAGTTATCTGAATACTACTTTTTAATTGCAAAATTGTCATCCTATATGCTTAGAAATCAATAGGCGCTATGAGCCAAGACTTAACCGTTTAACGCACTCAAGTTCACGTGTTTCACTCAAAGAGCTAACAGGCCTAACACCAAAGACCTCTGAAATTCTGAGCAAAAAAAAAAAAAAAAAAAAAAGACAGAGAGAGAAAAACACACACACACACAGCTTACCTTCAGAGCCCTGAAATTATCTCTAAATTGCCAAATATTACATGATATAATCAATTAAGCAAAGAATGATACCTATTTTTGCATTAATTCCATACATTCTTCTTTTCAGTTCTAAAATTTGCTCTGCAATTGACAGTATTACCAACACAATTCCTAAAAGACTCAGAATCAATACTTTCTAAAAATAGCATTTTCAAGCTAGGATTTTTCAGCCCTCAAAACTCTTCCAATCGTTATGTTGGAATCTTATATAATCACCCTTTTGAAATGGAAGTTGTATCTTGTATGGGTAGCTAACAGGAACAATCCCCTCACTGATACTTCTATTGTACTTAAGATATCACTCGACGAAAATCTGCAAGTCTCTGATGCAAAAATATCAGACTGTTTGGTCATCCAATGTCACTCATCCTACAGCTGGTTTCGTAGCAGCTCAACTTCAAGATTCCGGGAACATTTTTATCCAAGGATTTCCGAACAACACGAGTCGTGGCAATGGGACGATCATATGGCAGAGTTTTCAGTATCCTGCAGACTCAGTCTTACCAAATATGAAGTTCATTCTTAACAATAATCCTGAATTCAGGAAAGTCGTGCAGGCCTGGAAAAGTCCTTCAGATCCATCAGTTGGAAGGTACTCAGTTGGTACTAACTCTAGGTTTTTTCAGATTATCATATGGGATGGGGATCGCCCTTATTGGCGAAGTGGACCTTGGAATGGAAACATTTTCATGGGAACAAGATATTATAATACTGGTTATGGTAAATATCTCATTAACACCGGGTCATTCGCACAGGAGGAAGTAAGAGGGATGCTTTCTCTGGTTTTTACAGGTGCGAATGAGACTTTGTTGCCTCGTTATGTAATAATTGATCAAGGGATATTAGCTGAAAGTGGTGGGATGATAGCAAGAAGAACAGGGGAATTGCGTGGCATGCCCCGGAAAATATATGTGACACCTATGGTATGTGTGGAGAATTTGGAAACTGCAACCCGCAGACTAAACCTATGTGCAGCTGCTTAAAAGGGTTTGTGCCAAAGAACGCGGAGGAATGGAGGAGAGGAAACTGGACAAGTGGGTGTGTGAGAAGAAAGAAGCTGCAATGTGGGGTTCAAGGGGGAAAACAAGATGGGTTTTTGAGGTTAAAGATGATGAAAGTGCCAGTTAATGCTGATATTGCTGAATGGTTTGTGGGTCTGAATCCTGATCAGTGCAGAACAACCTGCCTGGCAAACTGCTCTTGTTTGGCTTATACACATGATACTGGAACTGGATGTATGAGATGGAGCGAGAACTTGATTGACATAGAGGACCTTTCACCTGGAGGGGTGGACCTATTCATTCGGCTTGAACAATCAGAGCTAAGTAAGTTAATCATACCTCTTTGAAATTTTGAATGCTAGACACTTTAGGAGATATTATAGGCTTCTGAATTCTCATCTTCCCACCTAGTAAAAAAGATCATGTTAGTATGCATATGTAAAATAATTTCTTCTGCTTTGAAGGTACTAGTAAGAGATATGACTTTAGGAACAGCAGTGATTGCCACTATCATATACTTCCTGTTCAAATGGAGAGCTCGGAAAAAGGGTAAACACACATCGGATAGAAATAGAAAATCTAAATCAATACCAGAGAAAAAAGCTGGGAAAGCAACAGATTCATATCTATTCAAAGACAAAACCCAAGTAATGATTGAAGACTTAAAAGTCTCAAAACTTGAAGATCTGATAATAGCAACAGACGGCTTTAGTGAGAGTAACTTGCTCGGGAAGGGTGGTTTTGGCCAAGGTAAGAATGAGTTCAATTCAAACATGATCTTACGTAGTCTAAAAT